CCCCCCCCCCCCCCCCCCACCAGCTGTAGTTGCCCTGCCATAAGTCGACCACGCCCTGCTCGGTCCCGGTCCCCACCGCCACTATTGGACCCTGCCTTGTCCCCACTCGGGTCCACCAACTGATTCCCACCCCACCCCATCTCCAGTGCACTCCCGTTAGTCCCCTCCCACTCCCGCCAGCATCTGCCACTCAATGTCCCCAGGCTTCCGCAGCTTCCTATTGGCTGCGCAGCCAGGGGTTCTTTCAGGCTCCTCCCCCAACCCGCCCACGGGCCCGTTTTTTTTTTTTTGAAAAATTCTATTAACACAATAGCTTCCCATTGGCTGAGCAGACAGGCGCTCTCTCAGGCTCCTCCCCCCAACTCACCAATGGCCTGCCTAAGTTTTGTGGAAAATTCTAGAAACAGAATTGGCGCTCTTCTAGTTCTAGAAACTTCCAATGAGACTTCTTAGACCCCTCCTTTTTCCCACCTGCTAGGCCACTGGTCTACTGTCCATGATCCTCAAACATCTCCCCTCAGTTCACCAACAATCCCGTACCCCCACTTGGACACCTCCAAGTGGGTGTGCGGCCATAACACTATGTGCAGACAGAGCCGCGCCATTTCTTCCACAGCATAAAAACTCTAGGCCTACGCCGCTGTTGTCCCTACTGTCCCAGACCCGACCTCCTACCTCCTGAACCGACCACGCCACCATGGCACCTGTTTGGAGCCAGACCTGCCCTTTCCCACTATTCACTTGTCCCTCCATCCTCCCACTCCGAGACCTTCTCCTCAAACCCCCTCAGAGGTTTCCGTCGAGGTCTCCGCACCCCACCCTTACCGCCATGCTGGTAACAGCTTAAAGGGGGAAGGGAGGGGTACCGGAGGACCTTTATGGCAGTGCCAGGGATGGTACTCGGCTACATTCCCGCCCACTCGACCCCTCTGCCCTTTTTCTGGGGGGAAAAGGGTCTAAGGGAACTTCAGTTCCATAGTTCCCGTGTTCACACACACACAGAAGCCGAGCTGAACAGTCGCGGTGGCGCTTTTAACAACATCCACCACACTAAATGAAGCCGCTGCCCCACCTAGGCCGCCTTCTCCGTACCTGCTCCTACGGGCCCGTGGGCGGTATCTGACTCCAGCTGGCTCCAGCGGTGAGGTGTCGTCTGGCTCCAGCGGTGCTGTGTCTGGCGGTGCGCCTCACAGCAGACCGGTCCTGGTGCGCCTCACAGCAGACCGGTCCTGGTGCGCCTCACAGCAGACCGGTCCTGGTGCGCCTCACAGCAGACCGGTCCTGAGCGGATGAAATGGCCGCCAGCACTGACACAGCCACCACCAATGGCTCCTTCGCACGCCACAGCCACAACCAATGGCTCCAGAGCACGTCACAGCCACCACCAACGGCTCCGGGAGGCGCTCCCGCGCGCCGGAGTGGGTTTGAAATGGCTGCCAGGCACAGTGCCTCTTATAACGGACAACCCTCCCCCCACAGGAACTGACGTTTTCCCGCCTTCCTGTGCCCACCTATCACAGGGCATCATAGAGCAAATTTGCATGTTACTATGGAATCGGCACACCAGCTTCCGGAATGGAATCCGGGTAGTACTGCGGGTAGTACTGCGATTGGATCGAGATAGCGCTTGTGACCGAGATAGCGCTTGTGACCGAGATAGCGCTTGTGACCGAGATAGCGCTTGTGACCGAGGCTTGTGACCGAGATAGCGCTTGTGACCAAGTAGCACTAGTCGTATATGTGCACCATCCATTTTCGAACAATTCTCACTGCCCCCATTTTGTTTTTGCGATCTGACACGGGCTAGAGTGCTGAAATTACAGATATATAGCTACCATGCCTGGCTTCTAATAACTTTCTGAGTGCTAAGAAAAAACAAACGGGCCGGGCGATGGTGGCACATGCCTTTAATCCCAGCACTCGGGAGGCAGAGGCAGGCAGATCTCTGTAAGTTCGAGACCAGCCTGGTCTACAGAGCTAGTTCCAGGACAGGCTCCAAAGCCACAGAGAAACCCTGTCTCGAAAAACCAAAAAAAAAAAAAAAAAAAAAAAAAAAAAAAAAAAAAAAAAAAAAAAAAAAAAAAAAAGAAAAGAAAGAAAAAAAAAAGAAAAACCAAACTTAATTCTTTAAAAAGTGAGAATTTGAAGGCTGGTTCTACTTACCTTGCTTAAATTGCCCAAAAAAAAAAAAAAAATTTTTTTTTTTGGTTGAGACAAGGTTTCTCTGTATAGTCCCAGCTGTACCCGAACTCACTGCCCTCTAACTCATTGCCTCCACCTCCCGAATGCTGGGATTAAATGCGCCACCACTACTGGGTTGCCCAAATCTTTTAAACATTTATCTACCTGGTTGGTCCTCCAACTACTCTGAGCGCTGGCTGGTAGAAAGGACCATCTAGTCCCCTCAATAAAAGCAAGAGGGAGCAACGCAAAAACATCTAGCAACAGAGATCTGTGGTGCTGCCATCTAGAATTGTCAGACCCTGGAGAAAAAAAATGGAGTACGGTTACTTTAAGCTTTTCAGTACCCATTCAAAACGCAACAAGAAAAACAAGTGCTCCAAAGCTACACAGAGAAATCCTATCCTGAAAAAATAAAATAAATAAAGCAAACAAACAAATCAAACAAAAAGTACAAGAAGGGGCCAGGTACAGTGGTGCACACCTTTAATCCCAGCCCATGGGAAGCAGAAGCAGGCAGATCTCTATTGAGTTCGAAGACAGCCTGGTCTACAGAGTGATACCATGTCCTGAAAGGGGCTGGAGAGATGGTTGCTTCGGTGGTTAAGAGCACTATTCTTGCAGAGGATCTGGGTTTAATTCCTAGCACCTGTACAGCGGCTCACAACCACCCATTAACTCCAATTCCAGAGAATTTAAGGCTCTCTTCTGACCGCCTCAGGCACCAGTGCACACATATGGTACACTGACATACATGCAAGCAAAACCTCATACATGTAAAAGAAATTATAAAAATAAAAAATTAAAATCTAAAAAAAAAATGTGTACATAAGCCTCCTAGACACTGGCATGCCACACCCTCGTCGCAGCTACTCAGGAAGTGAGACCGAAGAACACCTTGGGGAACCCACGAGCATACCTAAACAACAAAAGGAAACTACTGTCTCTAAATAATTAAAAATTCAATGTTAGGGTCCAGGAAGATGGTCCAGTAAGCAAAATGCATGCTGGACCAGCATGAACATAGAGTACATGTTAATCTCAGGGCTTGGAGATAGGGCCAGGTAAGTAAGGGATGGAAGATGGAAATCGTGAACTAGAAATAAGATGGAGCATCCCAGAGAGAGAAACAACTGACATCCATACAAACATATATTACACACCCAAATTTTTAAGAATAAAAATATGAGGCTGGAGAGATGGCTTAACTGTTAAGAGCACTGGCTGCTCTTCCAGAGGACCCAGGTTCAATTCCCAGCACTGGCATGGCGGCATGCAATCATCTGTAACTCCAATTCCAGGAGATTTAACACCCTCTTCTGGGCTTTGTCACCTCACGAACATGCAAGCAAAGTACCCATACAAGACCTAAAGAGAAATATTAAAATGCAATGTTAACACTCTCATTTTAAGAGGCCAAACAACTAGAAAGTGGCATAGCTAGAACTCAATTGTAACAGCTCTAGTTAGTTCCAAAGTGCACGATAGATATAGATAGATAGATAGATAGATAGATAGATAGATAGATAGATAGATAGATACTAGATAGATACTAGATAGATACTAGATAGATGAGTAAATGAATACAAACAAGCAGGTTCCTTGAATGGAAAAACAGTAAGAATAATAGTAACTCTCCTCCACAAAAATGAAGATTGCTTAATGATGTGGATTAGAAGTATAGGTCAAGAATCTAAACGGTAGGTATAAGAAACATAAGCCAAGAGTGTCTGTGCACGCTATACTCCTAGCACTTGAGAGGGGGAGGAGAGGTTCAAGGCCAGCCTGAGAAATGTGAAACTACCTCAACAACAAAAAGCTTCAAATAAAAGTTAGAATTCAAATTAAACCTTCAAACAGTTCAGCCAGGGACAAAGACACATACCTGTAATTCCAGATCAGGAAGCTGAGGCAAAAGGATAAATGTGAAGACAAATTTGAAGCCAGTCAGTACTTAGTGATATCTTGTCAAATACAAAATACCAGTAGGATGAGAAGGCACATGTTTATAATCTCTTTAACATCAGCACCCCGGAAGCAAAAGCAGGAAAACCTGAAGTTCAAGGCTAGCCTTGGCTACACAAAATCCTCTCTAAAACTACAAAAGAAGTTAAAATTCAGGCTGTTCAGCAATTACACAAATTTATTTAGTCTGTCCAAGGAATTTAGACTGAATGCAGGAGCCACCAAAGAGAAGATAAATGAAACAATCTTAACAATGAGGGTGAA